CCAAGTCTGATACCGACAAGCGTGGGCGCAAGACGAAGGCTCTAGAGGCCAAGATTTCCGAGCTCCAGGAGGAACTTTCTCACAACCTTGCGCAGATCATCCCTGGGCTTCTCAATAAGTTTGGATTTACACCGGAAGCTGCTTCTGTCGTTCTGCGACTGGAACACCTTGTGGACCTGAACACAATCCAGGATCTCCAAAAAGACGCTACGGCTTATACCTCGCTGCTCAGCGATATCAACAAGCAATTTTTGACTCATTCGGATCAAGATGTTCTGGCCGAAGCTAGTGTGGCTTTCTTGCATGCCAAGAGCTCCGAGGAGATGCGAGAGGCGCTAGAGAGCAAGGTTCAAGAGCTGTGGGATGATATGGTAGAGGCACTGGCTGCCTTGTCTCGGAAGAAGGAGGTCCAGGAAGGTGGCTCAATATCTGATCCCACTCTCACCAACCTGACCAACACTGTCTCTCGAATTTCGAACCTCGCCGGTATCACCGATTGTGCCTCCATTCTCGAAACTGTCCCTAATTCAAGATCGCAATCCAAGAAAGACCACAATGAAGCCCCATTCAACACCCTCATTCATCTTGCCGAACGTGGTCTGCGCATCGAAGATGACGATGAGGATACCGCTAAGGCAGAGAACGAACTGGTCTCAAGCAGTATCCGGTCGTTGCTTTTCTATTTCATGTGGAAGGTGCAGGCACTGTCCACAGCCTTGAACGATGGAAAGGCCTCCTTCAGCACATCCTACTTCGAAGCACTGACAAAGAGCCGCGAAACGTTCGCTATATTGCTCGTCAACATCATGGAAACGCGCCCTGGGCTGGATGACCTTCGCTTCACAGCAACTACAACATACCTAGACCTACAGACGCTCTTCAGCACTCTCCGGAACATCGGCCAAGCCAACGGCAATGACGAAGACGTCCTGTTTCAAACACAAGGCCTAGTCCATGAAATCGGACCCGACACCCAAGCCCTCATCACCAAGATCCACGGAATAGCTGAGCGCACATCCGCCAAGAAATCAAGGCTCAATCTCGAGCCCGCAGACGACGACGCCCCAGCCTCGGAAGATGAGCTCGACTCCGAAGATGAAGTCAGCGACTCCGAAGACGAAGCAGTCATCAACGACCGCCTCCGCAGTAGCATCGTAGCCGAACAGCGCCTCTGCGAGCTGACAGGCAAGCTCGTCCTCGCCATCATCGCCCGCATCATCGACGCCTCCGGCTCCAAGCGCGGCGCCCTGAAGAAGCGTCTCCTTCGTCATAAGACCGCCCTCGGCCACAATTACCGAGAGGTCCTATCTTATTTGGAAGAGCGTAAGCCCCGCAGTACGCCCCGCGCCAAGGGGAAAAAGCCTGCCAAGTCTGCTGCTTCTCCTGCCAAGGGCTTCAAGTCTGCTGAGCATATTGATGATGACGATGAGCACGACCATCCTGAGCCTATTGAGGAAGATGAAGATGAGGACCTGCGTGCGCGCGGACTTGTCGAGGATGATGTTGAACATGAGAATGGGCACGAGGACGAGGAACTTACTCCCACGCCTGAGGCCGATGAGGATGAGGTGATGGGTGACTGATCTGGTCTGTCTTATTTGACGTTAATGTGTGCCTGAACAAAATGATATCAATAGGGATTACCATGATATTTCTTCGCTGTCGTTCATTGCTTGTTACTTTTTTTCTCGTTACTTTTTTTCCCTCTCTCTACTTTCTTCTCTCTCTCTTATGGATTATGGCTGAATTGACTGTACCTCTCTTCTTTGCTCTCGTTTGCGTGGATATGGAGTTATTTTCAACCTGTATCTTATACACTTCCCCTGATCTTTACTTTGCTGCTACTTTGCTGACTTGATCTCAATCTATTCCCCTCTGGTTTCTGCTATTTTTTGAAATCTTGATATGGAATTGTGGTATAGTAAAATGGATGTAACTGGGTCTGTTGCTATCATTGGTACATGTAGACTCTGATTGTATATTATCTTCACTGCCTGAGGGCTTCGTATTCTAACATTGAAGGCTTGCAAGTCTAGCATCAGTTCGCCTCCTCCCGAGAGCATAAAATACGAATATAAATTTCCCGAGGAAGATAGAAATATCCTGGGATACAATTACGACTACAGGAAGAAAAGGTAGGTCAAGTGAAATCTGGCATTTTTTCCTGGCGAACTGCAAAGCGTACCACGAGAATAGTGCAATAACATTTTCAGAGGCATGATTCGAGCAGATTATGAGCGTGGTATGAGCAAGATGTGCTGTCACAGCCCTGTTGTCAGCAAGCGAGGACGTGCCCGCGCAGGAGACCAATGCCCCGTCAAGGAACACCATAGTCAGAGGACATTAACGTAACTGGAGAGAGAAAACCGATCCTGCAAACAAATGCGCCTGTGTATGAGGATGCTAAAGGGGTGGGGGAGGGGATACATGATGGTGAATCTTGTTTATCGTGAAATCAAAAAAAAGAAGGGGGAAGTGAAATTCGTGACAAGAGAAGATGAGGGAATCAAATGAGCACCATAAACTGTTTAGACGCAACGCCAGACCGAGAAGTAGCTTGGTCGAAGCGCACGAGAGGCGTCGAGGCTGTATGCGAGCAACCTGGCCTCTCGGTAGCCAGTGGTGCCCGACCCATGCGAGGATACGCTGGACGCAGCTTCGACGTTTGGGTTTGAAAGAAGATGAAGATACAAGGATTGGCATAGTGCACGAGGAAAAGACAAGTCTTTACATATCCATGGTATCACCGCCGTTGCCGAAGTTGAAGCCACCAGGTTGCTGCTGCCCAGTGCCGAGAGCAAATCCAGTCTGGGTCTGTTGTGGAGCAAGTTCCTCGATATCGCCACCGGCCTCATCCTCGTCAGAGAAGTACTTCTCGATAATGTTGTAGGCCTTCATGTAGATCTCCTCGTTGGCGTTGTTCTGGCAATCGTGGATCTTCTCCATGCCACCGGCCTCTTCGATGAAGAGAGCGTAGCGGTTGACACGAGCCTCACCGGGCTGGCCAGCCTCCTTGTCCATATCTCCGACCTTGAGGATGTTCTCGAGACCGTCGAGAGCAACCTGGATGATCTTGTTGTCAGGGCAGGCCAGGAGATCGCACAGGGGTTTGATGCAGCCTTGAGAAACAAGGTAGCGGATCTGATCGGGCTTCTGGAGACCACCGGAAGTAGCGTTAGAGATAGCCCAGCAAGCCTCCTTGCGGGTCTTGAAGTCACCATTGGCAAGCAGGTTGATAAGAGGAGCAATGATGCCAGCGTCGATGACCGCCTGAATCTGGCTGGAGTTACCAGCAGTGACGTTGGAGATGGTCCAGCAAGCTTCCTTGCGGATACCATCCTTGGTGGAGCTCAGGAGGGAGAGCAGAGCAGGAAGAGAGCCACAGTTAATGATCACCTGGGTCTGGACGTCATCACCAGTGACAATGTTACCCACAGAACGGAGAGCGGGAGTCTGGACAGAGGTAGAGGCGTGCATAAGGAGCTCCACCAGGCGACGGGGGATACCGGCCTCAATAACGGCCTGAATCTTGTCGTTGGCACCATCGGACAAGTAAGAGATAGCCCAGCAAGCGTCAATCAGGACCTCGTCATCCAGCATGTAGATGAGCTTGGCAAGGACTGGAAGGGCGGGGGCAATAGTGTTCCAGTCAGGCTGGGGAGTCTTGCCACGGCAGAAGTTGCTAAGAGTCCAAGTAGCGTTGCGGAGCATGCTCAGCTTGCGGCCATCGTTGATGAGGTTAAGAAGCGGGCGCAGGGCACCGGCACCGAGAACAAAGTCACGGCAGTGAGGGCTGTCACCAGCAATGTTTCCGAGGGCCCAAACGGCCTGTTCACGAACATCGGGCTCAGGGCTGCTAAGCAACTCGACGAAGATGGGGACGGCACCAGCTTCAATGACGACCTGGGTCTGCTGGGCGGAACCGGAAGCAATGTTGGTCAAAGCCCAGGCAGACTCAAACTGAACCAGGGTGTGGGGTGAGCGAAGGAACTCGACGAAACGGGCTACGACACCGGTCTCAATAACACGCTCGATGGGGGGTTGCGCTCCTTGGAAAGCAATTTGCGGAACTTGGTGGTGGCCTGGATCTGTTCCTCAACCTGATCGGAGAAAACTCCCTTCACCATCTGGGGAAGCTCGACGTTGAGCTAAGTAAATCATTATGTTAGCTTGGTAATTTTCACGATGTTTTTTTTTTATTGCAGTGGGGTCAAGTCAGAGGAGGGTCTTCGTGGGCCATGGCAACAGGGCGGTGAAAAAAAATCCTTGTTGATGATCGCATCATGAAAACAAAGAATTCACTCAGAGCCCATAAAGGTGGTGACCACACCATGAGCCCGTAGAAATCCAAATGGGGATATAAAATAGAACAGATTTCAAAGGATCAAAGAAAAATTCCAAGACCTACCTCACTCTCAATAGCACTGGCCTCATCATCACTCTCAGTGGCGGCAGCCATGCCACCAACACCGATCCTACCGTCCTGGGTTTGGATACCACGTCTCTTGGCTAAGTTCTCATCACGCTTTGCCTTGCGAATCTCGACCTGCTGTTCTTCACGGCGGCGGCGGAGCTCATCGGGCTTGAACTGGTTCTTGGCCTTGAACTGCGTGCGGCGATGCTCGGGAATATAGCGTTCCGCCATGATGAAAATGGAAACAGGAAAAACTAAGCGCGCCGCGGTGATCGATTATGTAGTATGTGAGGTTGAGTGGGCGCGCGGGGAGATGGACGGAGAGTAGGAAGAAGGAAGAGGGATCTGATGTGGGGGGAGAAGACTTCTGTGGGAGGGGAAACGATGCTATCACGTGATTACTCATTCGACGTACTCCCACGGCAATAAGCTCGTCCTCCCTGAGCTCTTAGAATTCCCCTTATCTTGGTGCTTATTTATGACAATTGCTCTATGATGGATGTGCATTGACAGAAACGTGCATTTTTTCTGAGCTAGTTTGTGATATCTCACCGGGAGCTTGCAGGACATCTCATCGACAAAAGATATGGCTTCAGGTGATCTAGTGGACATTACCACTGCTTGCTCTTCACAAGGGACTTTCAATGTCGTAGGTGTGGTAATTGACAAGCTACCACTCTTTCGGACCAGAGGCTCGTCGGCATGCATCACCTTCACGATAAAAGACTCCAATTTTGATGCACCAGGCTGGCAAGGTGGTCTTAAAGTCAAATATTTCAATGATGATGAGAGTTATCTTCCTAATGTCGAGCTCAAAGATGTAATCCTGTTACGAAACCTCCTGGTGAGTTTATTTACATGAGTGCAGCAGCATGGTAAGCTGACAGGATTCAGGTGTCAATTTACCAGAACAAACCAACAGGGGTTGTTTCTCAGAGATCCAATGTGTCATGGGCTATTTTCCGACCAGAGCCAAGCTCGAGTTCCAGTCCGTTCATTACCAGCGGTCCCATTCCTTTCGAGCCGAGTCTGAAGGAAAAGGATCAGGCACACTCGCTCCTGGATCGTGTATTTGCCGAAGCAATCCCTGTGCAACAACCCACCCCGCGCAGTATACCCGCCTTTCAGCAGTCTTCTCATGTTCAGGCTTCCGTTCCAGCCGCAAAATCTGGAGGCCTACCGTATATCCCTATTCAGTTTGCGACGGTTCGCCAACTTTGCCAGTTACTTGGCCAAGTTGTGAATCTCAAGACTTATGACAGTGAAAAATGCATGCTGGACTTGACTGATTTCACTGAGAATGAGGGGCTTGCCAACTACAAAAAACCCGGAGAAGGTGACGATGAATCAGGTCCTGAGGGCGACCGATTTAATTACATACAGAAGACAAAGAACTGGCCAGGCCCATGGGGTAAATTTACCATCCGAGTGACTTTATGGGAGCCGCATGCCAGCTATGCTCGAGAACACCTCAAGCCAGGTGACATCGTTCTATTAACCTATGTCCATATCAAGGAACACCGTGGTGGATTGGAAGCTGTCGTTCATGAAGACAAACGATTCCAGGAGAAGATTCATGTCAGGAAGATGAATGATAGCAATGATGAGCGTGTACGAGAATTGATGAACCGCCGGACAGAATACTGGAAGATCCACGGTGAACCCAAGGCAGATACCAAAAAGGCCAAAAAGAAGAACAAGAGAGTCGAGCAGAAAAAGGAGGCCCGGAAAGAAGAAGGCCAACTGACCATGCCAGCAGCATCACGAATCAAGTTGAATCAACATGGTGAGTTGATTGTATTCCTAAGAGAAGCATATTGGCTGATAAATGTTTAGTCAAAACAAAAAATTACACAGTGCCTACTTTCCCTCTGGAGAAGATCTTGTTGGCGGAGACTCATACAAACAATGCTCCGGGGGCATTGTCTATAAGCTTCCCTTTCAAAACGTCAATTATCACTCTCAGGTCCGAGTAGTTGACTTCTTCCCCCCAAAGATAGAAGACTTTACGGTTCAAACGACCAACGCTCCCTTGTTCGGCAATCAGGAAAGTGCCACGGAGCCTCAACTTGGCTGGGAATGGCGGTTTTGCCTTCTTGTGGAGGGGGTTGAGCCCAAACCTCCCAAACAACAGCCCCGAGGAATGATGAAGCTCTATGTGTGCGGGCAAGATGGTGATTTTCTTCTTGACGATTATGCATTCAACCTCCGCGACAATCCACGGAGACTGGAAGCGATAAAAGAGAAGCTTTTCCTCTTATGGGGCAATCTCGAGGAGGAGAAGTCGAAAGCCATAGCTTCTGGTCAACAGAGTTGGGGGCCAGTGAAGTCGTGCCCATTCGAGTGCTGCATCAAGGAATATGGTGTTCACTGCACCCATGTCAAAGACCCCAATGTGATGGATGTCGACGGCGAGGTGTGCACCTATCCTGATTGTTTTGGATGGGAGAGACGATTTGCCATGTTCGGCACGACTATCCACACATGAATTCTACAATCCCCAGGTCTTGTGGAAAAAAAATGTATCCCTAAATAAAGCTTGTATGGATTGATCCTTTGTACTAATACAATTTAACATTTTTAATCAATAGATGGTTGCGCCTGGAACCTTTTTATTCACCCGCATAGAAAGGAAGAAAAAAAACAACGTTGAATTCTCAATGCCTGTATAGCAAGCCTGCTCCCATGCACCGTCCATAACTCCCGAATGATCGAAATTCTGATAATGTCATGGATGCTTCTTTTGAACCTTTTCCCCGTGAAACTCACACTGAACTCAATAGACAATATTTTAGGACCTTGTTTCAAGAAAGGTTCAGATCGGCCGAGATGAGCATAAGATTGCGAGATGGCCGCTCAAATTTTCGTAACTTTGACGATGTTCGTGTCGATGCCATGCGCCACGGGCTCAAAGCGGCAGCTGTCGCCTCGGAAGCAAGTCTTTTTACCAGGTTCGCTCTGAGGACAACGATGACCATAGATACACTCGACGTCATCACATTCTAGACCAAAGCGACAGGGTGTCATGCGGGCAATGGCTGACAGGATGTGCAGATCTTGGCGTGACAATTTGCGATCATGGTCATGATAGCAATTCTCTTCATTAGGACATTCACCGAGCAAGAAATGATAATTGCAAAGCTTGAGCTTCTTCAGTTTGTTAAGATCATCGCGAGGAATGCTCTTGAAGTCGAGCCGATCAACACGCTGGCCGTATTTATTCCGTTCCACCGTCTTTGGGGGGGATGCACCAGGCACCTTGGACCGAACGACCTGGAAATCAGAAGACTCGGGTTTATTTGTCACCGAGGCCAATGGAGCGCCCAAATTTGACACACTGGTACTGGTAGAGGTTCGTGACAAAGCAGGTGTTTGGAATTGCTGGGTCGGCGATGGTGTGAGCAAAGTCCGCGAAGGGATTGCGCTTTTCCAAGGAGCAGCCCAAGACGGTGCACTCGTTGCACTCGGTACACTCGGTACACTCGGTGCGGTCAATGTAATTGGAGCAATCTTTGTGGTGCGGAAAACATCCGGGAACTGGGTGATGCGATAGTCCTGCTCTCGGAAATAATCAAATTCCTTCTCGAGTGGAAGACCCTCAACCAGCGAGACTCGGCCCTTATAATTCGCGCCAGAAATGAGTTCTGTCAATGACCGAGCATATTCTTCATTGGAGGGACAGCCCAAGAAGAGCTGGTGGCAATGGCAGTTGTATAAGTAAAGCTTGAATGCCTCTGGAGGAAGAGAATCAGCAATGGTATCTTATGTCAGGTTGTACCACATACCCTTGATTTTATCATGCGCTTTGTTTTTGCCAGTTCCAACGTCCACAATTTCGAAGAACGATGCACTCTCATTGAATCCACGAATAAATTCATTGATTGTGGAGGCCTCTAGGGCGATTCCGCCCCGGATGTAAGTCTCCATAAGTCCCTTCACATTAAGATAGATCTTGGTCATTATCTTCGGCTCGGTGATTGTGGAAAGAATTGTTGTCACGTAGCTCTGGAGAGATTTCCAGAGCTGCTTGGCCGCATTGCGTCCACCCTGTTCCCCTAGTTGCAGAAATTCATCTTTGAATATTATTCCTTCGCCGTCTAAAAGCAACACGACGAATGGTTCACGGTCCTAGAAGGAAACAAAATATGTGTCAGCCTGAGCTTAGACAAGGCATCCACAGCTGTGCTCACCATCATTTTCTTGACAACTGATATCTGGTCCATCAGCTCCATTTCATGCACCTGAACCTCACGATTGAACCGGGTTTCGCGTTCATGGTCGAGTTTCTCTTGTTGGAAGGAATTCTCTAGGGTGGTCACACGTTGAAGAAGTTCCTATCGCGAGTCTTGTTAGAGTGAATCGGGGACCAATGGAGGAATTGGTTGGTACCTCAATGAAGTCATTCTTCTGCTGGTCCAGAGCGCTTAGCTGACGATAGCGCTCTAAATAAGCTTGAGTCGCCATTTTTGTAGATTGATGAGTATCGTTTGAAGATCTGAAAATGGTTGGAATTGCGAAAAGGATGAATGCGACAAAAGATAAGGAAGAAAGTAAAGGAAGGGAGAGAAGCAAGTTTCAAGTCTGATCAAAGCCAACAGGGAAATTCCAGTGGGCAGGCGCTTGCAGGAGGTGACAATCTACAAAGCGCGTAAAGTGTTGGAATCAGCGGTAATCACCAATGATCAGTGGCCACCTCACTTTATTAAATTAATTGATATAGAGAGAGAAATTTATAGTCCGTCGTCTTTGCTTCAAATAAAAAATCAATCTAAGACCGCGGGTGCCATCTGGCTGAGTCAGCCCCCGGTTTTGCATACGTGGAGCCAAATATTCCCCTTCACCTGATCTTGACTTTGACCTTTCCCCTGTTTATCTTTTCTCTTTCTCTTTCTTTTCTCTCTTCCGGTTTCAAGATGACTCGCTTTGGTTTCCTCTCTTTGGCTCTACTCTCTCTCCAGGCCTTCATTGGCACCGGCTTTGCTGCTGTATGTGTTTCGTCTTGATTTGCTTCGGGAACCATGTCGCATGACTCAATTGACTAATTGTTTGGGGTTGAACTTGTAGGATGCTGAGAATGCTGAAGCAGAGGCTCCCACTCTGGCTGTCTCAGCCCACGCCTCTTTCCCTGCTTCCGAGATCTTCGGTATCAAGCTTGTCAACGGTCACCCTACCCAGGCGCTGATCGCCATCTCCAACGATGAGCCGAATCCTATCACGGTGAACTTTGTCGGGGGTAGCCTTCGAAACGCTGAAGACCAGGCGCAAGTTGTCCGCAACTTGACTGCTACTCGTTATGCCATTGAGATTCCCGCTGGCGAGAAGGAGACAATCAGCTACAGCTTCGCCACTGAGATGCACCCCCAGGATCTCCAGATGACACTTTCTGCCATAATTTCAGACAGCGAGGGCCGCTTGGTTCCTATCGTTGCCCACAATGGCACCGTTAGCATCGTGGAGGCGGATACCAGCATCTTCGACCCCCAGATGTAGGACACCCCCCTTTACCCTTGGTGTGAGGGTAACGAGGCTAACAATTACAATCAGCATTTTCCTTTATTTCTTCCTGCTGGCCTGTGTCTCAGGCACTGGTTACTTCTTCTATACCGTTTGGGTCGCTCCCTACTTCCCCCAGAAGCGCAAGTCCGCAAAGACCAGCGAGAAGCGCACACAGGGTGGCTCAAAGCGCGTTGAGACCCCAGTTACGGAGGAGACTTCCACCGGCGCTGCAGTTTCTTCTACCAGCGCCTACAATGCTGATTGGATTCCCTCTCACCACATCAACCGCCCCGAGGCCCGCAAAGTCAAGGGTCGCTCGAAGGCCCGTGCGTGAATACACTCACGACAGTCATATCACGAATGGAGGAAGGAAACAATCCTGTTCAATGTGTACCATTGTCGGGGTTTTTGTCTAGTGTGAGGGCGGCATTAGCCACGGTGCTGGAAATGCACCCTGCTGCTTGTCACAAGGGACATGTATATCTACCAAATAGAAGATTTTGGCCCAGTTTAGCTTCCACGGACGCCAAACAGGATCACTTTTGGAGAGTTCAATCCATTGTATACCACGCTGTGCCTGTTTTGGCAGTACTGGTATATCACAGTTTCTTCCATTGTTTAAATTCCTCCTCCAGATGTTGCTTCAATTCCGCAAACCGATTCCCAAACCCCCTACCACAGCGCCAGCAAGCAAAGTCTCGTTTTAGGTACCCCTCTTCCGTCGGATTCCGTCGCACATCATCTTCCGCCAGCGGGAAGTCCTCGATTGGCACGAAGAATGGTGTCGAAAAGCTATTGTAGTGTTTCCGGTGCTTCAAGCGCTCGCTATACCTATCCACCGATAATACATGGACATGCAAGTGGTTCATAGATGGAACTGCATGCACCCCAACCATAATCTCCTGTTCCCAGTCCCGACCCCGCGGTAGCTCGTCGGGCGGCGGATCGGCGCTCAGTGCCGTCTGTCTCGCCTGCTCCTGCGCAGAGTCCTTCCCATATTTGCGTCGCAGCTCGCTCGCTGCCAGCTTGCGAAGTGTTCGAGTTTCGGCCCTCACTTTTGCTAGGAAGTCGGCATCCTCAAATGCATCAAATGGGTGCATGCGTGTTTTGGTCTGGTCGCGGGGGAGAAGGAGGAGGTGCAACGATGACTTTGGGAACATGTCGTGGATCGCCACAAAATCGTCATTGTGGTAGACCACGACATCGGGAGCATATTTCTCAGGCTTTGCGATGTAGGTGCCTAGTCCATCGCGAACACCAAATGCAGTCCTGCCCTTGGCCGCATTGCGATCAGACGGGGTTTTAGTCGCGTGTTTGGGTTGCTTGCTTTTAGGAGCCAGGAGTTCGGTAACTGTCAAACCGATATGTCAGTCAAGTATTTTTCAGTGATACGTCTCTCGGTCTTTACAGGCATTCCTCTTTTCCGACGTCCCAGTTTGCTTCTTTGGGTCAGCTTTGGTCGGATTGGAGTGGTCCCCGGACATGGTTGGTGTGGAAGTTTGACTCGTGGTCACACAATAGATGTTAGCTACAGCATTGCCTTTGAGCAACAAATCCAAATCTCACATCGGTAGACCGAGTAGTAAGAGTACAAGACATGTGTTGGGAGTTAAGTCTCCCATGGTCGCTGCGCTCTTCCGTATGCTCCCCGCAATCCCAAAGCGGTTTAGTGCGGGTCGCTCTTTTGCTTGAAGCTCCAAAAGTTATCTTTCGTGCAAACACTCACCACACACAAAATGCCACCTAAGAAGAAAGGCGATGGTAAGGGTGGCCCCAAGCCGGGTACAAAACAAGCCAAAGCTGTGGCAGAGAAAGCCGCCGGCGAAGTGAAGAAGCAAGTGCCGGAGGAGCCCAAGAAACCATCCGTGAAGGATGTCATTGGCGGCGCATCATGGACAGGGAAGCTACCGGTCAATATGTTGGCGGAGCACTGTCAGAAGCAAAAGTGGGAAAAACCTGAGTACAACATGGTAATCAAGTCTTCCCATGGCACTCGTCGCCTGTCTACAAACACATATATCAAACCAGATGCTGATAGGTTGCGACAATTGCAGATCAAAACTGCCGACGGCTTTGTATCATCCGTCACAATGAAGAAAATAGATCCCAAGACCAAGGAATTAATCGTGATCCCACCGATAAAGCTCCCTCCCTCCCATAAGCAACTTGCTGGGCAGCCGACAGCCCTCGAAGCGCGCCATTTCGCTGCAGCGTTTGCTCTGTTCCGAGTGTGCAATATGCGCAATATTCATATGATGATGCCTCCAACATATAAGAAATTGTGGAAGGAGGACTTTGGAGAAATTAAAGCAGCAGAAACTCGGGAAGGTAAGGGCTGGATGTACGAGGCAGATCCATTCTTAGCCAAGCAAGAGAGAGAGAGCGCGGCCGCCGATTTGGCAAAGAAGCGAGCGGATCGTGAAAGAGCTCAGGCAAAGGAGAAGGCCTCAAATGCGGAATTAGGGCTAGGAAATGGGGATGCCAGGAGTAAACGTATCTGGTCACAGGCGCCCAAGGTGGATATGGGCACACGGATTCGACGAGATATCGAAGGCCTTTTGCGGCAACATACAGTTTGGAACCCATATGGCGTGAAGATCCCGGAAACCGAAAAGAAAACCATTGCGGACGAATTCACCGGTCTAGGGTTTCGTCGCAGCCATGTGGAAGAAGCTACAGCGGAATGCAAAGACCGCGAAGAGGTCTTGGAGTGGCTTCTCATCTATGTTCCTGATGATGACCTCCCACGATGGTCTCTGCCGGAAGGATATTCGGCTGGAGTCAGTCTTGGTTCTGGTGATCTCGCCCGTGAGGGCAAAGTCAAACGGCTGGCATCTGTTGGCTATCCAGCCGACATGTGCTCTCAAATCTTGGACAGGAAGCACGGCGACGAATTGGCCGCTGCTGAGCTTCTGCAAGGCACTTTGACCCATGGAACTCAATTCTCGGCCCCGTCAGTGGCCGACGAAGACGAGGAAGCTTGGGCAGAAGAAGCGACTACGTTAGAGGCTATCTTCGGGGAACGTTATCACCGCATATCAGCCAAGATCTGCGAGATCAACAGCGAGGCATCGGATATTCCACAGAACACGGTTTTCCGCTTCCAAAAGCCCTCCGCCCACTATCCAACCACACCTCCTGTTATATCAATCCAGGCCAAGGGCGTCCCAGCCTATATACGTCTTAGTGCGATCCGTCGGGCAGTGCAGTATGCCGAGGAAAACTTTACGGGCGAATCTATGATTTTCAACATTATGGATTGGCTGGAGGTCAATCTGCCGAGCATCATGGAGAACCCGGGTAAATTGCGAGAGATTTCCGCTGTGACGGCTTCGTCGGTAGCTGAGACCCACCAAATTCCTGTGCGTTCGAGTCGGAAGAATCGCAGAGGTATTGACTGGAAGGTTGACTCGGAACGAAGCTTGGCGATCCGTGATGCTTGGGAGGCCAAACATGATACCGCGCCGCAGATCGAGATGAATCGGAAAAGAAAAGCACTTCCTGCATGGAATATCCAACATGAAATAATACACTCTATCAACTCAAACCAGGTGACTATCATCTCGGGTGAGACTGGTAGTGGTAAAAGTACACAATCCGTACAGTTTGTGCTGGACGACATGATCCAGCGAGGACTGGGAGCCGCTGCCAACATCATCTGCACGCAGCCACGACGAATCTCAGCCCTGGGTCTTGCCGACAGAGTTAGCGATGAGCGGTGCGCAGTAGTCGGTGATGAAGTTGGATATGTGATCCGAGGCGAGTCGAAAGCCAAACCTGGCTCAACAAAGATCACGTTTGTGACTACTGGTGTCTTGCTTCGCCGGATGCAATCGGGTGGCGATGCGGATGGCAACGTCGCAAGCTCCCTCGCGGACGTATCGCACGTGGTGGTCGATGAGGTCCACGAGCGAAGTCTAGATACAGACTTCTTATTGGCGCTGCTGAGGGATGTTCTGAATTACCGC